CGCGCAGCAGCGCCGCGCCCGCCGCGCCCGTCAGCCCCGCGCCCACCACCAGCACCCGCGCCATCCCGGGACACGGACACCGCACCGACACGCCCAGGGACACGCCCAGGGACACGGACTCGCCCTGCGGTGACCTCGGGGCCCGGCCACGCCCATGGGCGGGGCGGAGAAGGCCGCGCCCATAACCACCCGCACATGCGCGCCAGAACGATCGGACGGAGCTGTGCTGTGTGTGCACACGGACAGGCGCAGCTGTACGGGCACATCTGTATGGTCACACGTGGACAGGCACATCTGTACTGCGACACATCTGGATGGGCCCATCTGGACAGGCCCACCTGGACAGGCACACCTGGATGGGTACATCTGTACAGGCACATCTGTATGGGCACATCTGTACTGCAACACATCTGTACGGGCACAGCTGGACAGACACATCTGTACTGTAACACATCTGTATGGGCCCACCTGGGCGGGCACATCTGTACGGGCACATCTGGACAGACACTCACCTGTACACACACAGCTGATCACACATCTGGACAGACACATCTGTACTCTGCACACACCTGTACACACCCCCGTGTCACACACACCTGTACACACCCCCATGTCACACACACCTGTATGCAAACAGACCTGTGTTACACCCTCCGTGTCACACACATCTATACACACTCACCTGGGTCACACACCCCTGTATACACACACACCTGTGTTACACACACACCTGTACACACCCCTGTGTCACACACACCTGTATACACACACTTGTGTTACACCCTCCATGTCACACACACCTGTGTCACACACACCTGTATACACACTCACCTGTGTCATTCACATCTGTATACACACTCACCTGTGTCACACACACCTATAGACACTTACCTGTGTCACACCCCCCGTGTCACACACACCCGCCAGCGGTCCAGGCATGCTTCAGAGCAGCGTGTGACCCACCCTCKCTGCACAGCCTCTGCTGGATCCCATCCTGCCCACCTGGAGGTGCTRCCCAGCAGGAGCTGCCGGGGGGTATGATCCCTTCCAGAAGATGCTAGTGCTTCCTCCAACACCTGGTGGGTGTTTTGCAAGAAGCCACGGCTCGCTGTGAGGAAAGTGGGATACGCTGGGACTGGAGCAGATAGTGCTGAGGGGTGGTGACATGGCGTGCAATGCCTCTGCCCCGGGAAAACAAACTCCCGTCCGGGCAGCTGCGGGAAGGGTTTGGATTGCTTCCCTCACTCAGCTGCGTGGGTGAAAGAAGGCATTCCAGAGGAGTTCTGATAGGATCRTAGTGGAATGGGGGACACCTGAACMCAACACTTTGGCRGAGGTGTTTATCAACAGAGAGGTGTGAAGTCCCCTCTGTGAGGCTTGTGCCTGAGGCACAGGTAGGTGCTGGTGATGCCCATCTTCACCTGGAGCTCCGAACTGACCTCGGGGCAGGTGTTGTTTAAAAGGCACTTCCTGTCGAGAGATAGGAGCTCCTGTCTCCCCTTCCCATGTGGAAAACATCTGGGGTTCCCTCGTTCAAAAAAAAAAAAAGAGTTGACTGTGTAACTGACCCTCCAACATGATGTAAGGGTTTACAGCTGTGAATTCCCATTTGGTGGGGGGTTTTCTCTTCTTGACACCATCACCCTGGAAAAAAGGCCTCAGGAAGCCTTGGGGCTGTGCCCATTCCCTGGGGAGCCTGGGCAGTGCCAGCACCCTGTGGGGACAGAAGAACCTTCCCTGATCTCCAGCCTGACCCTGCCCTGGTGCAGCTCCAGCATTCCCTGGGTCCTGTTCCTGTCCCAGGGAGCAGAAATTGGAGCTGCAGCCCCTGCTGAGGTCTGAGCTCAGTGTTCTCTGCTCCAGCTGAACAAACCCYGTGCCCTCAGCTGCTCCTCGTGTGGCCTCTCCAAATCCTTCCCCATCATCTCCTTGCAATGCTTTCTGAAACCTAACAAATGTGGAAGAGTATTAGGACATTGTTAGAATTAAAGAGTCAAAACCAGAAGAGAAACACCAAGAATTAAGAGAGAATCCTTGGAGTAATTTTATAGCAAACCTGATTATTAAACTTGGGCACAATGAGTAGCACTGAAGTTCCTGCGGCAATGGAAAAAGCTCTGTGCTCTCCTAATGAACGCATAGGGACTGCCAGCACAGAAAGAGAGAGTGACACAAGAGAGGGCTACAGGAGCTGGGTGAGAACTCTGGCATGTTCCTGACACGTTCCTGCTTTTGGGCTAAACACCTACCTGAAGTATGTGCCGGTGGCAGACAGCCCTGGACGGGGGCAGGRCACGGGGACAGGGATTAGGAGCTGTGGCACAACTTCCTGCCTTACTGGAAAGGAACTGGGAAGGCTGACAAGACACCAAAGTGGGCATGAGCCAACAATGTGCTCTTCCTGCGAGGATGGAGAACCCTGGCCACAGGAGAGGACAAGGGGCCTTCTGGTGTCTGTCACCTCTGCTGTTTGGGGCAAGGGAGGTCACATCTGGAGGCTACATCCAGTTCTGGAATGCCTGGTGAGAGGGATGTGGAGATGATCCATAGAGGCTGGAAATGGTCAGTGACCCTACAGCAGGAGGTGGATGGAGCTGGGTTTACTGGGTCTGTGTTGTGGATAAGTAAAACCTTATAAAATCTTATAAAACCTTACAAAACCTTATAAAACAAGGGCCTTGTTACCCTTGTAAAACTCCTGCTCTCTCCTGTTACTTCAGCCAACCAGAGAAGGATTCTGGGTATGACTCAGCTAA